TTTGCTCCAAATTCTTCAGATTGGGCATTGTTTTCTTTATTGGAGAAGACTGAGGCAAAAAGGCATTGAGGAGTTCAGCCCTTTCTGTGTCCCCTGTTTGCATTTCACCATCTTCTCCTCTGAGTGACCCCACTGTTTCTTTGTTCTTCCTTTTGCTACGAACATACCCATAAAAGCCTTTTTTGTTGCTTTTAAACTCTCTAGCAAGCCTGAGTTCTTCCTGTTAAGTTGTGGGCGAACATAGCAGACGACACAGCGATTCTTCAAACAGCTCTTCTTTATCCAGATGTCAGAACAGAACTGAGCTGAGGGGCTCAGTCACTCCAGAACAATGTAACTTGCCATTTTCTAAAACTATCCAATCACTGAACGTCACTTTTCGATCCTTCATTTTCATACAAACTATCCAATCACTGAGCGTCACTTTTCGATCCTTCATTTGCATAACTATCTACAGTATCCCCCTGCTGGCCCAGAGTGAGAACTTCAGTACATAACACTTCCCCTTCTATTTGCCAGGATGGGACCAGTGGCCATGATCTTAGTTTTTTAGGTTGAGCTTCAGACCATATTTTGCGCTCTCCACTTTCACCCTCATTAATTCCTCATCACTTTCTGCCATGAAAGTTGTGTCATCTGCATATCTGAGGTTGTTGATATTTCTTCTGGCAATCTTTTTATTTTATTTTATTAGGAATTTATACAAAACATATTATTTTAAAACATATCATCCTTAATCCCCCCCCATTTCCCCCTCCCCCTCCCTCCCATAAAACAACCCACCCTCCCCACCCCACCCCACCCTGACTTCCCTCAGTTGCAATCTCTGGTTTCTCTATAAATGTTATTCTCTGCATATTACAAAATTGTAACAAAATCGTGACCGACTGGGGTTGCGGCGCTCATCTCACTTTACTGGCCATAAAACCATCTTTTTGTAGTTCCATGATCAAGGAGTTATGATCTGAAAAGGTTCTGGGATTAATTTTTTTGACTCTTATTTCCAATTCTCTTCTGGCAATCTTAATTCCGGCTTGGGATTCATCCAGTCCAGCCTTTCGCATGATGAATTCTGCATCTAAGTTAAATAAGCGGGGGGGCAATATACAGCCTTGTCGTACTCCTTTCCCATTCTAACTGTAGCTTCTTGTCCCACATAGAGATTTCTCAGGAGACAGATAAGGCACTCCCATATCTTTAACAACTTGCTATAGTTTGCTGTGGTTGACACAGTCAAATGCTTTTGCGTAGTCAATGAAGCAGAAGTAGATGTTTTTCTGGAACTCTCTAGCTTTCTCCATAATCATGTTTGCAATTTGGTCTCTGGTTCCTCTGTCCCTTCGAAATCCAGCTTACACTTCTGGGAGTTCTCAGTCCACATACTGCTTAAGCCTGCCTTGTAGAATTTTAAGCATCACCTTGCTTGTGAAATGAGCGCAATTGTGCAGTAGTTGGAGCATTCCCTCAACTGTTCCTCATAAGGCCCTTGATCATCTTGGTTGCCCAACTCTGCACTTGTTCCAACTTGTCAACATCCTTCTTAAATTGTGATGCCCAAAACTGGACACAGTATTCTCGGTGTGATCTGACCAAAGCACTATTACTTCCCCTGATCTGGACACTATACTTCTATTGATGCAGCCTAGAATAGTATTAGCTTTTTCGTTGCTGCATCATACTGTTGACTCATGTCACGTGTACTTTTCACATGTGCAGCTGATTCTTCCTGCCTAAGGACAAAAACATACATTTATCCCTGTTGAAATTCATTTTGTTACCTTGTGTTCCAATCTGTGAAGGTCATTTTGAATTCAAATTCTGCATTAGATACATCCCGGTTTGGTGTCATCTGCAAATTTGATGAACATATCTTCAATTCCAGCATCCAGCATCACCTAATACACATTCCTCATATTTAGGCCTGCCTTGGACATCAAGCTATTTTAGACAATACCCAGCAAGATCTTTTTTTCTGCACTAGATCCCAGTTACTTCAACACAGATACAATTTGATAGACTGCTGTTCTTGACTGACATGCAAAAATAAATTGAGGGCCTGGCCATTACCTGAAAATGAAGGCTCATTGATAACAGCATATGCAGTGCTTTTCTGACACCCAAAGCTTGAAAAATGCCTCTCAAACTTTGATGGGGGTGCTGCTTTGAAAGTAATTTCAAAATTTCTGTAAGAATATAATTCCACATAGGTTAAAATAAAATAAAAACCCATGAATTTGATATATTTTACCAAACAAATATTTCCTCATCTCATTAATATTTTCACACAAAAAATTACTGTGTTTTTATATGCATTGTAAGCCACCCAGAGTGGCTAGGGAAACCCAGCCAGATGATGATGATGATGATGATGATTTTATTGCTAACCAGTACATGGGCATAGCCAGGATTTTTGTTAAGGGTCAGGCTTTATATTAGTGGGGGGCATAACCTCAGTTAGTTAAATATTTTTATTGATTTACTTGATTTAGGGGGGTAGCTGCCCTCCTGGCTGGGCCGGATTTGTGTATAGGCTAAGTAGGCTGAAGCCTAGGGCCTCTAAATCTAGGGGCCTCGCCAGACAGCCCGCTTCCCAGCAGGAAGTCACCACTCTCCAAAATTGCAAACCCAAGACTTCATGCAAGGGCAGGGCAACTCGGGCCCAGCAACTATGAGACTCAGGGCTAGCCAGTGGGGCCCAATTTGAAGCTCTGGGGCCCAACTTGGAATCTTAGAGATATAAAGACAATTCATCTAGATTGCCCTGGTGCAGGGGCCCCCTTAGGAGCAGTCTGCAAGGCCCAATTTGGCCCAGCTGCTCCAATTGCCTTAAGGCCAGCCCTGATGAGGCTGGCCTTGCAGGGGTTGGGCTGGCAAGCGCTGCCACTTCTAGGTCCCTATTCAGAGTACAGACTCAAGGACTTGTTATGGAAATAAAGGGGGGGCACTTATCGGAAATCATTTTTGTCACCTCTCAACACCTCTCCTCCCTCAAAACCCCGGGACAATGAGCCTTTGCACTGTTAATGGAGAAAGCTGGTTTCTATTGGCAAAACTTGTTGCATTGTTTCAAGTGTCAAAATTGTACCCAGTACCCGTGCTGGACTACTAACCTTTGGAAATTACATAAAATCAATACCATAACCAATTCTCCCATTTCAATGACATTTTGCTTCAAAAGGAAAGGCAGACTTGGACATTGCCTTCCTCCATAATACTCTAAGCGAGAGGTCATGTGTTCAACTTGGATACCACCCTCCTCCATAATCCTTGGGATATACAGTCAAGTACAGAGCGCCCTCCTTGAGAGGAACAATGAACATCGGTTGATGGGTTTCCTGAGGCCAGGTGTTTCCACAGCCCATCCTTGGGAAGGCCAGAAGGCAAAGATATGCATGAAGGTAAATGGCTAGTCGTGGCAGACTCTGGGGTTGCGGCGTTCATCTCGCTTTATTGGCCGAGGGAGCCGGCGTACAGCTTCTGGGTCATGTGGCCAGTATGACTAAGCCGTTTCTGGCGAACCAGAGCAGCACACAGAAACACCGTTTACCTTCCCATCGGAGCGGTACCTATTTATCTACTTGCACTTTGACGTGCTTTCGAACTGCTAGGTGGGCAGGAGCTGGGACCGAGCAACGGGAGCTCACCCCGTCACGGGGATTCGAACCGCCGACCTTCTGATCGGCAAGTCCTAGGCTCTGTGGTTTAATCCACAGCGCCACCCTTAGGTGTTAGGATCTGATAGGTGGTAGGATCTGATAGGTGATAGGATCTGATAGGTGGTAGGATCTGATAGGTGGTAGGATCTGATAGGTGGTAGGAACTTGATCTGATAACTGGGGCAAGTTGATGAACTTGGGTAACCACACAACTCCCCTCCCTCCTTGTGACATGATGATGATGTATCAGTGATGTATCAATGATGGTTCTAGATATGTATTCTGGGTAGGGAGGGAAGATCTTCAAAGAGCTTGTAACCCATGTTCCAGGTTCTTACTGTAACACTCTTCCATTTTCTTCTAGTTGTGAGGGTGAGGGATGGGGAGGGGCCTCACAAGTGGAGTAGCCTAGGGCCTCTCTTCATCTAAATCCGGCCCTGCCTCCTGGCCCCCCCTTGTTTGAACAGAAAACTAATTGGGCAAAGAAAAAAAATATTTAGCCAGCAAGCAGTTCCTTCCTGTCATTTTTCTTGTGTAGGCTCCACCATGCTCAGATTTGGTCTTAGAGTAGTTTGGTGTATACTTTACTGGAGGATGGGGAAATGGACCAAAAGACAAAATGCCACTGAGTGTTGTGTTGCAGGGTACCTTTATTCCTTGAAAACTCTCATTTGATGAAATAGATAACTGTTCCTTTGTCACCTTTCTTCTTAACAGAGTGCCTGCTTATTTATTTATTTATTTGCAGCATTTCAATGAAATATAGCAGTATGACTATAAAAATATTTTGATCACTTTAAACAGAAAGCAAAGGGTTAAGAATTCTATCACATTCTATCTATTTTTCTTCTTTCCTCTTTACTATCCTCTTTACTGTTTATATTTCGCTATTAAATAAATAAGCACATCGACAGCAAACGCGCTGAATAAACTGCGGGAACTCTCCGTGCCATCCGAATTACCGAAGCGCCGGGGAAGTCACGGCACGAAGGTCTGAGGACCTCGGGCCCGACGGGCGGGCGGGCAAGGAGCCCCACTCCGGCAGGGGAAGGGCGCTCGCTCGCTAGACGAGGATTTGTTGCTTCAGAGACATCGCCAAGAGACATCGTCGCCCGGCGGCAGGTAGTGGGAAGGCGCAGGACGAAACAGGCGAGCGGGCCAGAGAGGCCAGCTGGAAACCCAATCGCAGCCTCGCAGCCTGGAGGGGAGCTCTCGCCCTGCAATCCATTGGTGGAGCGCGCTGTCTTTTACGCGGGATGCGGGCTGATGAAAGGACCTGGGCGGCTTCTCTCCGCAACGCCCCTTCTCCTACGTGAGCTTCTGGGTAACCCGGGCGCGTCACGTGTTGTTTTGCTGTTGGCAGAGGCGAGCGGAGCGCCAGAAGTCCCCTGCTGCTCCTGCTGCTGCTGCTGCTGCATCTCTGGTCCTCCGGCGAGGAGCGCGCGCAGCACCGAACGGACTGAGCGGCTGCCAGAGCGAGCAAGCAAGCGCGGGCCGCAGCGGAGACCCGAAGCGGCCGGGGGCGCCGGGGTGGGGGCCGCGCGAGCTGCGGGCCTCGCACAAGCGCTGCTCGGAATCGCCGCCCCGGAGCGGGAGAGGGGATGGCGAGTCCCCCCGCGGCGGAGCCTCCCGACCGCCCGCAAGGCGGCCTCAACCGCAACAACAACAACAACAACCAGCAGCAGCCGCCGCCCGAGCAGCCGCCGCCGCCGCCGCCGCCGGGCGTGCGCAAGTGCGGCTACCTGCGCAAGCACAAGCACGGCCACAGGCGCTTCTTCGTGCTCCGCGCCGCCAGCGACGGAACCGCCGCGGACGAAGCGCCGCCTCAGCCCGCCCGGCTGGAGTACTACGAGAGCGAGAAGAAGTGGCGGAGCAAGTCGGCGGCGCCCAAGCGCTCCATCGCGCTCGACTCTTGCCTCAACATCCACAAGCGGGCCGACGCCAAGCACAAGCACCTGGTGGCTCTGTACACGCGCGACGAGTACTTCGCGCTGGCAGCCGAGAGCGAGCCGGAGCAGGAGGCCTGGTACGTGGCGCTGACGGAGCTGCTCCGCGAGAGCCAGCCCGCCGGGCACGACTCCCCTCGGCGCCAGCCGCCGTCGGCCTCCCGCGAGGAGCCGCCGCCGCTGCCCGGGGCCTCGGCTTACCGCGAGGTGTGGCAGGTGACGCTGAAGCCCCGGGGCCTCGGGCAGAGCCGCAACCTCGCCGGCGTGCACCGGCCAGTGCCTAGCGGCGCGCACGGTGGGGCTGGTACGCCTCAACTGCCAGCGGCCCTGCGTGACGCTGCAGCTCATGAACATCCGCCGCTGCGGCCACTCGGACAGCTTCTTCTTCATGGAGCTTGGTCGCTCAGCTTCGACTGGGCCCGGCGAGCTGTGGATGCAGGCGGACGACTCGGTGGTGGCGCAGAACATCCATGAGACCATCCTGGAGGCCATGAAGGCGCTGCGGGAGCTCGCCGAGTTCCGCCCGCGCAGCAAGAGCCAGTCGTCGTCATCTTCATCCAGTTCGTCATCGTCCGGCGCCGGCGGAGCTTTGTCGGCTATGTGCAGTCGACCCATTTCGGTTCCCGGCCGCCGCCATCACCACCAGCCCTCTCTGACGGCGCTGCCCCCCAGCCAGGCCGGGCTTCTCCGCCGGTCGCGTACAGACACTCTGGTGGCGGGCAGAAGCAGCGGGAACCGGAGCCGGACTGCGAGTGAGGGTGACGGGGGCAGAGCTGGTTCACTAGCTGGCAGCCCCTCGGGGCCCGACGTTGGAGAGCCCCCGCTCGGCCGCTCACACACGCCTGGGGCAGCCAGCTGCAGGCTCGGGAGCCAGACAGCTGTGCCGCCCAGTCGCTCCCTGGCCTTGTTGCGCTCCCCCTCCTTGGTTACAAAGCTGGCTACGGAGCCAGGCATGTTCTCCCATCACCCTTCCAGCAGCAGCACCTCCGGCTCCCCTAGCGATCCTGCTAGCTTCCTGGCCTTTGAGGAGTTGGGTCCAGCCATGGACCCTTCAACAGCTTGTAACCACAGCAACACACCTGAGACTCCTCCTGACCTGCAGCTGGATGGCTACATTGCCATGGAGCGGGGACACCTTTGTTATTGGCCCTACATATGGGAGAGCGCTGGAGGAGACAAGGTTCCCAGGAAGCGCACTTACTCCCTGACAACACCAGCATATCGGCACCCCATGCCAACTCTTCTCTCCTCTGCCTCGCTGGATGAGTACACACTCATGCGGGCTACCTTACCAACAGCAGGGGCCCCTTCAAGGGGAACCTATACTCCTTACCCTGAGGACTACTGTGATGTGGACATTGGCTCTGGCGGCACCACCAGCAGCAGTAGTAGCTCACATCTCGGTCGCAGTGGTAGTGGGGAGGAGGGCTACATGCCCATGAGCTCTGGGGGAGGAGCTGTTTTGCCATTGCAAGGTGGTCCTGGTGGTTATATGTCTATGAGCCCCACCAGTGTGTCAGCCCCACAGCAGATTTTGCATCCTCACTCCAACAAGATTAGCAGTGACAACTCCCTAGATGACAGTGACTACATGCGCATGTTGGGTACTAAGTTATCTGGGGAGAGTCCTGATGGGAGAATGACCAGTGGTGACTACATTGACATGCTGTTGCCTCCTGTCTATGGATCTGCCTCACCTGTGCCCTCTCCTGATGGCTTTGCAGGACAGGGGCTGAGGGGCCAGACCAGCACCTTCTATAACCCACTATCTCATGCCTGCCAAAGCCAGCCAAACTCTCTGGGTGAAAAAAAGAACAGTGACCAGTATGTGTTTATGAACTCACCTGTAGAGAGATTAACTCTCACACCCAAAGGGGAGTCCTTCCTTGCTATCTGCAACCACACAATGATGCCTTCAACCATTTACTACAGCCAAACTGAGAGCTCTCTTACTCCCTACATGAATGAGCAACCCCCTACAAATGAATCACAAAGTCCCTGTGGAGAGTATGTCCACATTGGATATTCACTGGCCTGTGGCAGCTCAGCTTCCTCACTTGGCTCTGGGTTGAATGAGCACAATGATTCCCTCATCCCCAGCTATATGAACCTCAATTTTGATGGGTCACAATCAGCAGCTGCGGAATCCTTGGAAGATGTGTTGATCCCAGGATCCTGCCCCAGCCCTGGGCAACCTAACAAACATTACCTAAAGGTTGAAATGGAGACAACTTTTACAACAGCCACCCGAACCCAGCCCATTTTACAGAAGCCAGAAAATGTTAATGTAAGCAGCCCTGTTACCGAATTGAAGCAACTTACACTTTCTGGGGTGCAGGCCTTCATCTTTGCCAGTCCTCCTCCTGATCCTAATCATGGAGCCAAAGTAATCCGTGCTGATCCTCAGGGACGACGGAGGCATAGCTCAGAGACTTTTCCCTCTACTACTACAGTGACGCCTGTTTCTCCTTCCTTTGCACACAGTCCCAAGCGACACAATTCTGCCTCTGTGGAAAATGTGTCCCTCAGGAAAAATGGCTTGTTAGAAGAGCAGACCAGCAGCCCCATGTGCCGGGAGACCTCAGCTGGCTTCCAGAATGGCCTCAACCACATTGCTGTTGATGTCTTGGAAGGAGACTATTTGGCAAGTGGTGGCCAAGGCAAACACAAAGGCAGACACCCCTGTAATGAAAGTATCAGTGGTACTTACACCAGTATAGACTTCTTGACCCACAATTTGAAAGAAGTCTCTTCAGTGAAAGGTAAGCTTCCTTACTTTAACCTTTTTCTTTTTCTTTTTTTCTTTTTTGTGTGGATAATGGATTGAAACACCATTATGCCCAGAGCTGCTGAACTAGATCAAACTTTGGTGTCTCATTTCACAGAGGTTTTTTTTTATCTGTAATGAGAGCTCTTCCAGTTCAATCTTTCTTGCTACAGTAACACTTTAGGCAGGATATCTGTGCCCACAAACCTGGGAGTAGGGGGACTTCTAACCAAATAGGAATATGAGTGTCCCTAATAGCTCCCCTGTCCTAGGAGGAAAGAACTACAAAGCAGCTTCTCAGACATCCCTCACATGCTGTATAGTTACAGACTGCGATGTTTGTAGGAAAGTCCTTTTGGGGGGGGGGGGGGTTCTCCTGAAATCCTGCTTTCCCAAGAGGACTGAACCAGTCGGTTCAGTCTATGAGGGCTTCTGTTCTAGGCTGCAGTATTTTGTTGCAGGTCTAACTTAAGAAGATTTGACCTCTAAAAGCCTAGTTTTGATAAAAGGTCAAACCAATGTGGTGATTTAAAAGGGGTTAAAGCAGTGAGGTGAAGTGGCCCCTGTAACAGAAGGATGTGGGATTACAGAGTATTACATGCTGCTGCAAGATCCAAGTTTGTGGCAAGTACTCTGGTGAGAGAACTCCAGCAGTTAAAATCACAAAATATGCCAAAGTGGCATGGAAACATAGACTCTTTAAAATATGCTCTTGTCAGTTCCAAAGCTTCCCTCTTCTTCCAGCATAGGAAAAAGCCACACATTTGGCAAGTTAAAAATGGGTTTATGTGCTTTAAGATTTTAATAACTTAATTAAGATTTTAATAACTTAATTACCTAGTTCTAGGAGCTGTAGTTGATGAGCCCATGAAGCAATGTGGTCCTCATGCTTGAGGAACATTGTACAGAATTTTGGCGGCGTAGTCATGCTGGCCACATGACCCAGAAGCTGTACGCCAGTAAAGCAAGATGAGCGCCACAACCCCAGAGTCGTCTGCGGGTCAGGGGTCCCTTTACCTTTACCCTTTACCTACACCAAGAGAGTAACAGGCAAAAGTAATGCACCAAGGACATCTTCTACATGTTGGTAGTCTGTGCCCTCAGAGAACTGGGTCATTCCGAACTTGTAACTGAGTAGTGAAGGAACTCTGACAGCACCTGCATCTTTATTTGGCTAGAGTTTAGTGATGCCTTTATTTTCTCTTTCTTTTCAGAATGAAGAAACCAGTATTACCGCCATGAAAACTGCTTGATGAAATTTAAAACATTTTAAAATCCTAATACAGTACGCTTTTTTCAGTTCTATGGTTCTCATGGAGGGGAATTATCCCATCTCATTCACTGAGTTTGCAACACTGTTTGCATAAACTATGCTTTAGAACTTTGGACCTCTTCAGTAGGCTGACTGAGTGAGTGCCATTTTTTTCCCCAGCACAGTTGACTGTATTTATTTTTCAGCATGTTAGGAGGTTGTGTTTGCAACTGCTACAGCAGTAAAATCTGTTTTTTTACTGGCACCCTTTCAAACCTCTACAGCACTACCTCAGTTAAAAATGAAACTGGATTTGTAATGCTGGTGTATAATGGCTGGCAATATCTTTTATCTCAGAGCTGAGTGTTGTCATCAGCCTTAATGATCATATCAAGAATCCTGCTGCCGCCTGGTTGCATCTTAGCCACTGGTTCCTCTGTTTAGTTAGCAGGCAAAGTCCAGGATAGGAACTGAAAAATTTAAGCCAAAACTAACTTTAAAGTTTAGGCTTCTTATCAGAATATTTATAATGGTTTTAAAATATGTAATGGAACATAATACAATTAAACTATACTAGGATATTCTTTACCTTGTGACATAGTTGTATAATTGTGTCTGTTTAGTTTTTTAACTACTTCAGGAGTACTTAAGGTCTTCTGTTTGTATGCTTTCATTTATCGGCTAATCATGATATTAGTTGAATTTCTTGTAACCAAAACCAGATCAACATGCTAATAATGGAAGTGTATTTGTTGTTTTTGGACCAACTGAATATGTTCAGAACATAATAATGCACTTCATTTTAAAAGACCTCTTATAGGAACAAAATTTTTCATTAAAAGAATTTGGGGAGAGGGCAAAAACAAGTTATTCTAGAAATTCTCACAAGTATATGTAGTGAAAACCAACAGTGTCATAGCTGCTCTTTTATATAAAAAGGTAAAGGACCTCTGACCATTAAGTCCAGTCACGAACGACTCTGGTGTTGCGGTGCTCATCTCGCTTTACTGGCCAAGGGAGCCGGCGTTTGTCCGCAGACAGTTTTTCCGGGTCATGTGGAAAACCGGGTCATGTGGCGAAACCAGAGCAGTGCACAAAACGGCGTTTACCTTCCCTCCAGAGTTGTACCTGCACTTTGACATGCTTTCGAATTGCTAGGTTGGCAGAAGCTGGGACAGAGCAACGGGAACTCACCCTGTCGCGGGGATTTGAACCGCCGACCTTCCGATCAGCAGGCCCAAAGAGGCTCAGTGGTTTAGACCACAGTGCCACCCGCATCCCACTCTTTTATATATGTCACCCCAAAAGCTTGCACTATGATGGGTTATTTTTCACTCTCTTGTTACTTTTAACCTCTGTTTGTTTAAAGAGACTCTTAAAAAATTTATAATGATTTCAACTCTTGTCTGAGTCATAAGAAGTTTTTTTCTTGAGAATTTTCTGTACTGTGTTATCAGAAACAATGTATTACATGTTTATTGAGGTAGACAAAGCATCCAGTGTCTTATTGCTCAATTAAATGGAATGCAAACTGCTTCCATGCTGAGCATTGGGATTGAGGATTGTTTAATAAGAGATATCTGAATGTAATCTCCACCCATTTAGTCTTCCTCTGCGGGCATGGGAAGGGGAATATTATAATGCTTCTGCTAGTAAAATGATTGAAGTATCAAAAAAGATTACTTTTAGTCATATCTGTTCTCCTAAACACCCCACCTTTCTGCCTGAGCAAGATGGTTGATTATAAAGCTGATGAGGAACACTGAATTGCTGAAACCAAAATGTTATTGCCACAATAACGAATTTAGCCAGACAACATCTAAAACAAGGGAGCTTGAATATACTATAGTATACATTTCACAAAAAGCTTATGCAACTATTTATGTTCCTAGTTTACAATGTGGAACCAAAAGTCTGCTAAAACATTGCAGTGTGTACTGATTGGTTCTTGCCTGGTTTTGCCTGGTTTTGATTTCTAAAAGTTATAAGCAGTGTTTTCTTTTTTGATATGTAATTGTTTCTAGTTATCGATATGTTAAATTATTTCTTGCCATTGTGACAAACACTTAGCTTACCTGGCTTTGTCTTCCAATGTGCACTCTGTATATAGGGAGTAAATCAGCGATGCTGCTAGGGATGAGAATACATGGAACTAGAATAGTATTTAATCTTTACTGACCTTGGCTGCTCTTGTTAATAGAAACATGCAATAAAATATGTTATTTATTAAAGGAATAAATTCTTTGAGGACCTGTTCTTTGTAGAGATTTCTTGTCTATAAAATTATTCTTTATAGTTTGTTAAAATTTATTTTTATAGCTTTTCTTCTTACAGAAGTAACTCTTCTCTCCCTCTGTAACTATGATGCAGAACAGAACAAACCCAAAGAAAGTTGAGCCCAGATTATCCAATACAATAAAAGAAAAAATATCACACCATTAGGAATCAAAGCAGTCAAAATATTTTCATGCTGTAGGAAGTCCCCTGATGTCCATCTTGTTGATATGTGTAATAAAACAATACAATTCCGCCATGAATTTGTCTGCCCCCATGACATTTTTATCTTATCTGCCACTTTTTGGTACCATGTGATAAGAGTTGCCCTTTCTAGTCCCATCCAAAATCTGTTAATCTGCATTCAGGCCACTACCAGAAAATATCCAATTAATGGTTTAAAGTGAACATTCAAGTTTTAATCTAGAAACAAATTCAACAGAGCCTTTTGTAGGCATTGACTAGTAATTTTGTGGATATCTAAATCTAATCTAAATCTAAATCTAAAAATATGGCAAATTTGTTGCAGGAAGGATCCCTTAATTTTACACCTCCTCCAACACTTTGTCCCCATCTCAGTTATTAATAACACATTGTATAACATTATATAATCTTAGAAACATGGCTATTTTCTTTCTGCATTTCTACATCAGGCTTGTAGTAGTAGCAAGTAGTAGCAAGCAAGTAGTAGGTCCTCTGCATGGAGAAGATGTAGAAATGCTAATGGATGACAGACGGTGAAACTGCTCGATACCTGCGTTGTCTCTGTCTTCACCCAAAAGGAAACTGATGATAACAACAGATGATGCAAGGAAGGAACTGTAGCCCAAGATAAGGCTACTTTAGCTACTTTAAATGAGTTACAGGGCCTCATGAGCTGCTGCTGCTTCATCTTCATCATAGCCATGAACATGGTCTTAATAGTGAGTTGGTAATTCTGGATCCACACGTCCTTCCACAGTGGGGACAGGTTTCCGGGCGGGAGTTGGTCACAGTGAGGGTTTGCCAAACATGACTTCCTTTTAGCATGTTTCTCCCTTTTTTCCTAAGTTTGAGCATCTTCAGAGTCCATAACACCTTTGGTAAAGGCTGTTCTCTAATTGGAGTGCTCACAGGCCAGTGTTTCCCAGTTGTCAGTGTTTATAATACATCTTTTTATATTTGCCTTTAAACCTCTTTTCTTGAAAGTGCATTACACTTTCCATTTTTAAGTTTGGAATAGAATAGTTGCTTTGGAAGACTAATGAGGCATCTGAACAACATGACCATTCCAACAAATTTGATGTTGAAGAATCATTACTTTAACATTACTGCTTCCAGTACACTGTCTTCCCAAGTGATGTGTAACATTTTTCGGAGACACCATATCCATGTTTCACAAGCATACAATAGCTTTGTAAACAAGCATTTTGATTTCCCTGCAAATGTCCCGATCCTCTGCACTTCAGTTGGGAGAAAGCTGCACTCGCAGAGCTCAGGTGATGCTGGATTTTGGTATCAATGTGGAAAGATAACTGCCCAGGTAGGAAAAGTGATACACACTTTCCAACATTTGTGGTGCTGCAGAGGGGTTGTTTTGTGCTGGTTGTTTTGTGCTTTTTGGTGCAAGCACTTTGGTTTTGCGGATGTTGAGCAATAGGCCAAGCTATTCGTAAACTTCTGCAAAGGTAATGAGGATGGTTTGGAGGTCATCCTCTGAGTATGCACACACTATGTTGTCATCAGCATACTAAAGCTCTATGACGGAAGTTATGGTAACCTTACCCTTTGCTTTCAACTTACTCAAAGAGCTTTCCATCTTTTGTTGTTTTTTTTTTTATAGTTGATATTTATTGAATTTTCAAAAAATAACAACAAAAATTTCCAAAAAAAAAAAAAAAAAATTTTAAGGATACAAAAAACAAAATTAGTGCATAAACAAAAAAGAAAAGAAAACCCAGCCACAAAGAAAAAAAAAAGAGAAACAGAAAAACAAAAATATAAAGTCCTTTACAATCTCTATTGACTTCCTTTCTAGACTTCCTCCTCCTCCCCTCTTTTGTTTCTTAATTTTTAATTTTTACAGCAAATCCTTTCTGTTTTTCCATATCAATCTGTCATTACGTTTCCTTATTCTATTTTCCCTCTTGTCATATAAAAACTTTAAGACTCATAGCTTATATTCAATATTTACCAAATTCTTGCATCATTACCTTTTACTGAATCATTTACCAATCCTTACTTAAGTCATGTAATTTCATTCAACATCCTTCAAACATTTGTAAGCATTCCCAATATTAACAAGTAAAAAAAAAATAATAATAAGTCAAATTCAGTCCAGTCAGCTTCCAACCTCCCCTCCCCTGGACCCGGGATTGTCAGTCCTTTTAACCTCGGTGATCCGGCTCCTTAACCTGGTTGTCTCGTATCCGAGGCCCTCAAGTCTCTTTCTTGCCCCTTTCGCCGCTCTTGTTGATGATTCCTTTCCAGTCGTGGATGCTCCAGCAAGAAAATGCTTTTGACCCTTTGCAGCAAGTCCATCCCAAACCCATTGCCCAAGCCAGACAGCAAATAATACCACTTCAAATTTCCACAAAGCTTGGAGACTTCGGCTACTCCAATCCTCTGATAGCCCATCACCAGACTCGGAAGGTCCAAATAACCATATGGAGGGGGGTCAATCCATCCCCCCATTTCCAAATCTAACCACATTTCATCTTTCCGAATCTGGTTTGTCCCAAGTTCATTTATCAAGTTCAAAGGCTGATCTTGCCCGTCCAAAGGTCCCTCCATCTCTGAAGCCTCCGTCACTACAGCAGGTTCATATGCTTGTATAGCCTTTAACTGAATTTCATTTGTTTGCTGCTGTGCTCTGGTAGCTTCCATCCTCAAGGTCGTCTCCTGACGCATCTGGTCCAGCTGGGCACTTAGTTTTGAAAAACCTTCCAGGAACAATTGTTCCAGCCTTTGTACTAGCATTGTCCTTCAAGGTCAAAGAAAATTCTTTCCCACGAAAATAGTCCAATAATCCTTCTCTTTTAATCTCTCTGCGTTGCAATTTCACTAAATTCCACTAGATGGATTTTTTTTCTTTTTTTTAAAAGGAATAAAAGCAACAGCAACAATCTTTCTTTTTCCAGAAACACTTTATCCAAAATTCCCCCCTTCCATATTCAAGAGGCAACAGTAGAATCAAAATGTTACCCTTCTTTTAACTAACTGTCGAGCTGGATAAACTTCAGAACGTCAATTCTGACAGCCCGCTCCTGGTTCAGGGCGGTGGAAAATTGCTTTATTTTAAACTCACTTCTGCAGGATTGAAAAGTCCAAATACAACCCCCTTTTTCTCCTGCTGTCAAAGGGGGGGTTCAGAAATCTTAGATGTTGAATTCTAGTTCTCTTAAAATTTAATTTTCAGGCTTTAGTATATTTTGTCTTTGCTTTCTTCACATAACAAAAGAACGGAAGGCGACTTCCTGTTTAGACCTTCCCATTCCGAGTCCCAATTAAGTTCAATTTCAAGTCCAATATTATTTATTTATTCACCAATCTTAAAAGTGGTTCAGCTCTTCCAAGATCAGGTACTCACGGATAGATGTTTTAGATGCCAAATTGTCCAGGAAAAAGGCAGCGCTCTCCGATAACGGCAGTGCGGCTTTGCTGCACGGAGGAAGCAGACGACTCACAGCACCACGCACCTCCCACTCCGGAGCCCGTTACCGGGCTCCTGTACAAGGGGAGAGCGCGCTCTCGGTGCCCGCCGAGTCCCACGTCCACAGGCTTCTTCCGCCTGTGGTTTTTGCGGGTCCCCGCTGCGCCGTAGCGGCAGGACCCAAGCCTCCGTGCAGCGGGTTCCCTTCAGTCCGAAGGGAATTCCGCCATTTTCCGGAGGCGCCACCCCGGAAGTAGCAGCTTTCCATCTTTTGATACGTTATTTCTACTCCGTAGGGGAGTTTTCATGGCAATGAAAATAATAGAAGTGGCAATTTTCATGGCAATGAAAATAATAGAACACAACCCTTGTTAACACCTGAGGCCACTGTGAATGGTTCGCTTTGAGAGCCATTGTTATCTGTGATTGTTGCTGTCATATTATCACAGAGGAGCCAAAGGATGTTCACAAATTTATATGGGCAGCCAATTTTCAGAAGGACAACCTACAAGGCATTACAATGTACAGTGTCAAAGGCCTTAGTCAGGTCAATAAACAACATGTAGTGGCACAGTTTCTATCTTTTTGCTAGATCTGAAAGGCCTTCCTTTCAATCTCACTGTCATTCTTATGAAACCAGTCCTTGATTTGGTACCCAACAGGCTACAATAATAGATGTTTTTAGCATTGTCCAGTGTTCCTCGATGTTATCAAGGAACTCCAAAAGCAGATGGTCCTTAAGAGTCGTTTGGAAGCAATCCCGTTTAATAGGATCTTGAAGAGCTTGAGTGTTCATTTTGCACCTTGGTTTCCTTCCCTGAAGACTTTGTTGAGGTATAATCTTGATAGCCATCATGAAATGTATTAATCTGTGATCTGTCCTGCAGTTGTCAGCACTTGTCATAGATGAGCACATCACGGCAATCTTCAGCTCAGACAATTACATAGTCAAAGAGGTGCCAGTGGTTCGACCGAGGGTGCTTGTTATAGGTAATAATAAGGTTGTGCGCTGCACATATAGTCAAAAGTAAGATTCCGTATTGGTTGCTGTTGCCAATTCCTTCTTTCCCAATTTTCCCAGGTCACAGATCGAAATGCATCACAACTCTTGCATTAAAATCACCCAGGAGTATTTTTTTTATCCTCCTTAGGCGTCTCCTTAGGTGTTTGGGGTGAGGGGTCAGAGTCTAGGGTAGGGATTTAGGGTTAGGATTTAGGATTTAGGGGCTAGGACCCCTAAATTGACCCCATTTAAAAATGACCCCAAACCCAACCCCTAGACCTAACCCCTAACCCCTTAACCCTCGCCCTAGCCCTAGCCCCAGCCCCTAAATCCTAAACCCTAAATCCCTACCCTAGACTCTGAGTCTCACCTCTAACCCCAAACAGTAAGGGTTAGGGTTTACGATTTAGGGTTGGGGTTAGGGTTCGGGGTTGGGTTCGGGTTCGGGTTAGGGCATTGGTAGGCAAACTGAGGCCTGGGGGCTGGATCTGACCCAATTGTCTTCTAAATCCGGCCCACAGATGGTCCAAGAATCAGCAGTTTTTACATGAGTAGAATGTGTTGTGGAATTCGTTCATTTTTTCCCTTCAAAATATAGCTGGCCCCCCACAAGGTCTAAGGGACAGTGGACCGGCCCGATGCTGGAAAAGTTTGCTGACCCCTGGTTTAGGGTTAGGGTCTAGGGTTAGGGTCAGGGGTCTAGGGTTTGGATCAGGGTTTACAATTTAGGGTTTGGGGTTAGGGTTCGGTTTAGGGTTGGGGTTAGGTTAGGTTAGGGCAGGGGTTGGCAAGCTTCACCTGCCATGGGCCGGATCACTTCCACAGAGATCATCTGTGGGCTGGACTGGCGCAGCGCGATGTCGGAAATGGTGTCTGCGCATGTCCATAGCGCTGGAAATCGCTTCTGTGCATGCCCAAACGCCGAAAATAGTGTCTGGACAATCACAGACGTGATTTCTGGTATCTGCGTGTACGCAGACACCATTTCCAGTGCCACTTGGTAAGTCCCTGCGCTGTGGTGTGCTGCTTTAGCGCAGTGCACAGGGGACTTGCCGAGCAGGCGGCTTGGTTTGCGGGCAGCTCGTGGGTCGGTAAAACCGCATCTGGCCCATGGGCCGCACGTTGCCAACCCCTAGGGTTTAAGGGTTTAATGTTTGCGGTTAGGGTTAGGATTTAGAGTTTAGAGTTAGGGGTCAGAGTCTAGGATAGGGGTGTAGGGTTAGGATTTAGGATTTAATGTTTGGGTTTCGGTTAGGGCTAGGGTTAAGGGGTAGGGGTTGCGGGTTAGGGTTAGGTTAGGGTTAGGCTCAGGGTCTAGGGTACAGGTTTAGGGTTAGGAGTTAGGGCTCGGTTTAGGGCTAGGGTTAGAGTTGGGGTTGGGTTAGGGTTTAGGGTTGGGGTTTACAAGTGGTTAGAGCGTGTGGCTGGGAAGCATTACCTAGTGGTTACAGCGAGGGAGTGGGAAGCTTTGCCTAATTGTTAGAGTGACTTAATGGGAAGCATTGTCCAGTGGTTAGAGCAAGTAGCTGTGCTTAAGAGTGAGTGGCTGGGAAGCAAGCAGCACTTCCTCTGCTCCCAGTGTCCTTCGTGGCATAATTGGATACCTAAATATCCCTTAAAGTGCCATTTAAGAGTGCAACATCTAGCAATTAAATTCAATCACCTTTGAGCACAAGGTTGTGACGTTGTTCTGTGTAAGGGACACCTGCATATTTCTGCCTTTCAGCGGGTTGGACTGGATGACCCTTCGGGTCCCTTTCAGCTATATTATACGATTCTTTGGAAAGTGCTTCAGAAAGAATAAACGGTGGGGGGCATTCTTTTAAGTTAGCTCACATGGCGAGGTGGTCCCTCTGAAACTTTATTATTTCTTGCATGGCAATTTGAGCTTGACATATGCTATGCCTGTTTTTACACGGGGCTCCTCTTTCTGTTCTTGTGGATGGGGGGGAAATCGGTCCCACTGATATTTCTTAGGTTTGTATGGGCACTGCTGAATTCCTGCTCCGAAAAGGTGAAGGAGAAGGAGGGAGGGAGAAGAGGAGGTGGAGAAAAGTCAGCAGCCGGAGCTCAGGAGGCGCCCTCTGCAGCCATTTTAGGAGAGGCACGGAGGATGGAAGAAGAATGGCAAAAAAGGGCGGAAACACAATAGCCAGGATGGGGGGACTGCATGTGGAGAGGCTGCGGGTGCCATTTTTGAAGAGGGAAATGGCTGCCCGGAAGTGGAAAAGGGCGGATAATGTTACCGTAGCCATTTTGGATGAGGGAATTAATATCCGGAAGCGCCTCCATTTATGGCGGTTGTTGCCAGCGGCGCCATTTTGTGTCAGGGAAATAGATGCCGGAAGCGCCTCCATTTTGAAAGATGGGGGGAGAGGGACGTCGGCGGCAATAGGCGGAACTTCTCACGGATCTGGGCAAATCGCTGGGCGGATTAGCTAACCCTTTCCTCTCCGAGGTAGGATCCTCTCCGTGTTTGCCACCAGCCGGAGCTCGCGGTCCACGGGTAGCCGCTGGCCCCGGAGGGCGAGTCCTCTTTGCCCCTTTGCCTGCTTCGTTGAGGGGGAAATGTGTGGCCTGCATGCGCGGCCGGGGAACCCTTGGTCAAAATTCATTTTAAAGGCTGGGGGGGGGGCCCAGAACCGAATTAACGGCGACGCAGGGTGTTGTCTTTTATTGTTATTTACTATAGTGGATTTATCTGGCGGTTCACAGGATAAAAAGACGGGGTAGAAATATCTGTAAATAGTTTTTAAAAACACCAATAACCTTCCCTCCCAGAAGCGTTTAAAGGCTGTAAAGCCCTTTAAAAATGCCTAAAAAGAACATTTGGGGCTTAGTCTCGTCTCCCCTAACCCTTAACAGTAGAGGTTTTTTATTTATTCTATTTTGGGGAGAAACACCCCTGGCCCTGTCTCCTTTCCCCATTTCTCAGCAACTCCCAAGTAATTGGCTTGAGATCTCTATTGCATTTAACCCTTAGACAGCTTTTGTGAGCCTAATCAAGCAATGTGCTGAAAATTTAATTTGCTCAGACGAACCATTGCTTCCATCAGTGGTTTTGGAACCAGGTAATTCCTCCAGATTTATCCACACTAGCCAAGTAAAGTCAAAACACATACCTTGAATTGAATGCCACAAGAATAAATGGGGATCAGCCCCTGCTATAGTGGGCAGCCCCAAAAGCCATTTGTGTTGTTAAGATTTTCAAAAGCAGAAATAATATTTACAAAACAGCAACTTCAGACCAGTTTTGGACACTTGCAGCACTTTGCAATGTTAAGAGGTGCTCTAAAGAAAAGCACTTTCTACATTCATGAGCCTCATTCCCCCCTTTTGCTGGAGGTATAAATGTTGTTAGCAATGTGCAATCACCCTGAAGGCTTCAGGTCTGCTCCTGACTGTTGAAATGCTCCTGGGGAGGCTGTAAGTCAGTCAGTAAACTCTGCTTCCAGTCAGTAAACTGATTGCAAGGTGTCCTTCATGGCATAACTTGCAGCTGCAGGAGAAGGTGTGGATCCTATACCTAAATATCCCTGAAAGTGTCATTTAAAAGTGCAACATCTAGCAATTAAATTCAATCACCTTTGAGCAGAAGGTTGTGACACCTGCATATTCCTGGGTTGCAGCGAGCTGGACTTGATGACCATCACAGGATTCTTTGGAAAATGCTTCAGAAATAATAGAAATAGCATTCATTTAAGTTAGTCGTATGATGGCACAGTAGTCTCACTTCCCTGTAAACTGTATTTTTCGCCCCATAGGGCGCACCGGCCCATAGGGTGCACCTAGTTTTTTTGGGGGGGGAAATAAAGGGGGGGAAATTATTTTTCCCCCCAGGCTGCGCTCCCGGGGTGTCGGGCTGCAGGCTGCTGTCCGCAAGCCTTGGGAGCCTGGCAGGAAGTCGCGCCGGTCTCCCCAGGCTTGCGGATATCTGCCCGAAGCCTGGAGAGCAAGAGGGGTCGGTGCGCACCGACCCCTCTCGCTCTCCAGGCTTCAGCGAAAGCCTGCATTTGCCCCATAGGACGCACACACATTTCCCCTTCATTTTTGGAGGGGTAAAGGTGCGTCCTATAGGGCAAAAAATACGGTACTTTATTACTCCTTGCACTGCAATTTGAGCTTGATATATCCTATGCCTGTTTTTACATGGACCCCCTCTTTCAGTTTTTCTGAAAGAAACCTGTCCCACTGATATTTCTCAGGTCTGTATGGGCTCTGCTGAATTCCTGCTCCAAAAAAGTGGAAACACTATGACAAGCTTAAAAAAATGTTTTAGTATAACTTATGAAAAATACAGAAGCTTTTCTACTAGGGATAACGGACACAGGTATAGCAAGAGAAGATCAGAAAATATTCCTCTATGCCACAGGAGTGGCAAGGATCCTAATTGCTAAAAACTGGAAAAAGAAACTGTGCCAACAAAAACGGAATGGCAAGACAAACTGTTAGAGTATATTAAACTGGCTAGATTAACAAAGGCAGTTAGAGATCGCACTAGACAAGAGTTTCAAAAAGCATGGGGAAAATGCAGAGAATACTTCACAAAACAGTGCCCTAAAATACATATGAGCTTCCTTGCAGTGGGTTGGACTAGATGCCCCTTGATGCCCCTTTCATGTATCCCATGCTCCCTGTCTCTCTTCCTCTCCTTTTAATGACACTTCCCCCGGTTTTTTCCTAGCTGGGCCGCCTCCGGGAACCTAAGTGCTGGCACCTGCAATTTCGCCTGCTGGCATTGTTCTGACAAGATCCATTGTGGTAAGTTTTGGCGTCACCAAAGACCGCTGGGATTGCTCTGACAAGATCCATTGACACCAGTTTTGGCGTCACCAAAGGAATTAAGGAGATGTGCTTCAATTCCCCTCGCAGATAGTATTTAACCCATCACGGCATCTCTCAAAGCATAGGAACTGTAGTTTCCTATGGGGGGAGAGAATATTCTGCGCAACCTTTCCCAAGGGAACTCTGGGAGTTATAGCTCTGACAGGGTCTCTTTGGGAAACGGAACAAACTACAGTTACCACAATGTCCCCCCAAAGCACCCTGGGAACTATTGCTTGCTCTGGGTGTTGAGGGTTGTGGCATCTGAACAGTAAACAATCTGTCCTTGCATTCCACAGTATACAACTCCTTGCCGTCCCAAGCCCATTTCTCTTCCTAGGGAACTCTGGGAACTGTAGCTCATGGGAGGAACAGCACTTGGTGCCCTGAACTCTGGGAACCAATGGGCTGGCACCGCCGAGTGTCGCCTTGGCCTGCGACTTTGAAGGCACCGCCTGCAGCTGGGAGGACGTCAGCATGGGCACTGACCAGGGTAAACTTGCTTCATTTGAAAGGCAGAGAAGCATTGCTAAGCAGTTAGAGCACCCCTTTGACCTGGTGCCCCCCAACCAGGCTGGTACATGAGCACCTCGGAGCAGCGAACCAAGCCACCTGACTCCGCTCCCTGACCATGAGTGACGCGGCCACAGCCTGTGAACTCCGCACCTGGTACAGTATGGCCGAAAGGTAAGCTTGGGGCACTGGTGGTCAGAAATCCAACAGGCGCAGAGCCATGTGCTTGGCCTTTTTCCCTGTGTGGAGGAAATGCCACGAGGCACAGTTGTCGTAATTCCATATTGATATCACATATTACATTTCTAAGCTGCAGGACATACCGTGGTGATATCATATAATTATTATTTATTGATTTCCAGACTACTGACCCGCCTGGTAGGGCCGGCATAATGAAATATCATTCTTATCATGAAATTTACTGATGCCCTGCTTCCCGTCCCCCTTTGGGATTCCTGGCAGCTGACCGATAAAAATGTTTATATATCTATGGTTCCCATCTGCAAGGGTCAGGCTAGATGACCCCTGGTTCCTCACCCTGCAGGACTCAACGGGAGCTTCCCAGTGGAGCTGAGCCTCGGAAGCCAGATTGTCCCCTGTGGCGAAGCCCTGCGTCACCCTCAGGTGCCCCCTGCTGGCCTACACCGGAAGAATCCGCAGTGCTTTCCAGGTGGGTCTTGGGCTCCTCACCCTCCCCGGCCGCTCCTTATCTGGAGCATGTCAAGAGCGCAGGTGACCTTCTCGGTGATGAGTGTGGCACTGGACAACGTGTAGTTCAGGAACTGTCGCCCCCAAAGTAAAGCTTTATTTTCCGCCTCCCCAAAACCTGGCCAACCAGATAGATTGCTTGGAGGCAACCCATTAATCCTCCCAACATTTCCAGGTCCCTGGAGCTGCGCCCCAAGTGAGCCGTGCCTGCCAAGCGGCTGCGTGGCCCCTGCCCGCACTGAGGACTGTGGCAACGGTGGAGATGAACGGGGTTGCGGTGAGCGGTCAAGGGGGCATTCAAGGCCAGGGGAACATTGGCACCACCAGAAGGGAGGGGGTTACCAGTGTCGCAGGAACCCCCCCCCCAATCATTCAGTTTGTACAAACTTCACACACACACACACACACACACACACACACACTACATACGCTACACTTCTGTTATAAATTCATAGAAAATCAACCATACATCGGATTTGCACTGTTCCACTTTTATTTTACTCCATGAAGGAAGGACTACAAAATGGGGAAGGTTTGATACAGGGCAGCCATAATCCCTTCAGCATACCAGCACATACACAGGAGCCCTGCCCAGTTGCTATGCCAACCCTGATGGTCCTAGACAGAAGACCATCAAGACCACAAAGAACTTGCATATGGGAGTGGATTCGGCACCGACTGGAACAAAGAACAATAATCAGCTCTTCCCTCTGGGGGCAGGAAACTGCAAACTCCCCTCTGTCACCTGGAAAGTACACATGGGAGGAAAGGGGGAACCAGCCAAGAGACAGGACACAACTCCTCCCTCAACCCCTCCTTTCTGTGATGTATGTTTCTGGGGGTGTCCTTGATCTACAAGGTGGCAATTTCAAAAGTCTTTATAAGGTCTTGCACACCATTTTTCTGGGTCCTTCCTCTCTCCTGCAAGTGAGGGGAGCACCCTGTTGCAACAGATCAATAAAGGCCAAGCCTACAGGCTGCTGTTTTGCTCCAAGTTATCCTGGTTGGTGTCTTTGTTTTTGTCCAAGGGAGCCCTCGAAATTTTCCGTTAACACCAGGAAACCTCCCAACCAGGCCAAAGCATTTGAGAAGGGTGCAGAGTATGCTGGCTGAAATGGGGCTTACCCTGGGGAAAATCCTGAGCGGAAGTTGCAAGTTGGTGGCCACCACTGCCTCTTGTGGCAGGAAGTTCCATAATGTGCGCTTTGTAAAGAAGTACTTCCTTTCTTTGATGTGTCCTGAATCTTCCAGCGTCCAGCTCTGTGAGTTCTACCGTTATGAGAGGGAGAAAAACTTTCCTCTATCCACTTTCTCCAGGCCAGGTCTCATTGGCCTGGAGAAATCACATCTTTGCACAATTTAATGCACAAACAGTCAAAGAACAAATAGGAAATAGGAACAAATAGGAAAACTCCCTGCGTTTGCTAAATAACCACATCCCTCATTTGTGTTGCTGGGATAAATTTATTTAACACTCTGATAAACTCACCTGCCAAAACACAGGAGAATATCAACAATCCAGCACAGAAAATTTTACCCATGGTGTTTTGTTTTTCCAGAATCAGCTAAAACAGAAGGGAGAGGTCACCCGTTAACCTGTAAGGGAGCAAATATTCCTTTGAGAAGTTTCTCCCGAAATGGAAGGCACATGAGACTCTGTAATTCTCTTCTTTGGGAGGTGGGTGTCGTGCAAAGTGGCCTTGGGGAGCTGGATGCGAAGGAGGCACGTCCCAGGCCTTTGAACTGCAACAAGAACAACCTGGGAGCATCTCTCACCTCCTCACTCTGGGAGCCTGCACCTCCTCACTCTCTCAATCGCTCCGCTCCCAGGCGAGAACAAAGACCAACCTCTCTTGTGGGGTTAATGTTACACATGGCGTTCCCATTATGTAGGGACTGGTGATTTGCTTCATCATTAGGGTCCAGACTGAGGTTCCCAGGGTGGCACGTGGACTCCATGGCACCCTCTTAGCACTCACCAAGGCCCCCTCTTAAAAAAGTTTCCCCAAAATCTGTTACGTTTTTACAGTGCTACAAGACCATTTGTTTTGGCAGTTGAGGGATTATTTATTTATTTATTTATTTATATTGCCCTTTATTTTACATCACTGTAAATTATTAAATAATAAAAAATAGTGTTTGTTATTTAGATCAATCAATATAGCTCATTGGGCAGAGCACAAGACTCTTAATCTCAGGGCCATCCTTTGAGCCCCATGTTCCCAGGGTTCCCTGGCAAGAAGGGAACTCTACCCCTAACAAAATCCTAACCCTAACCCAGGGCCATGGGCCAGATCACTCCCACAGAAATCACATCTGTGCGTGTCTGCTGCTCTGGAAATTGCTTCTGCGCATGCCCAGACGCTGAAAATCACTGGGACAGCTCAGTCTGCAGAGCAGGAGACTTTCCATCTCAAAGTCCTGGGTTTGAGGGGCAAAAAGATTCTTCCCTTGCAGAGGGTTGGACTACAAAAGGACCTTTGCTTTCCTGCTCTCTCCCAAACTGGGAAACTCCCAATGGAAAGTGCTCTGACCTTTCTCTTTTTCTTCATAGGGGTTTTCACACCGTACAGTATCTGCTCTCTGACCGGGCTTGGTTTAAAAGCCTCCAAGTATTCCTTGGATCGAGCAGTGCTAATATTTGCTCTGCTAATCTTTCCACCAAAGCTGGCCGGCTTCTGGATTAAACACTGGATTACGTTCTGTATTTAAAACAAATGTCAAATCAATAAAAAATTTCAAGAGAAATGCTAAAAATATAATTGAGACGAGACAATTTAAGGAAAATTCACCAGAAAGTATTCCTCTTTGTTGCGGTTAGTGGCTGTGGACATGGCATAACATTACAGCACATGACTCCACCCCCGAAGAATCATGGGAACTGTAGTTTGCCCCTAAACTATGTCTCAGCACATGTCTCAGCACAACACATGACTGGCTTTTCATAGAGACCACTTGCAAAAACTTGTGGTGCTAGAAGATCTTGCGCCTTATATTTACCCTGGGATCCCAACCACCCTTGCCCAGGACACCAGACTCAGCTCTACGGCTGCAAATATAATGTTTGAAGGTGCATTATACAAATGTGACACTAGATGGCAATTGTGAGGTTATGGCAAATTCAATATATTCTTCAAAACACCTTTTTTTTGAAAAAGTGTTTTCATTTTTAGATTCCACCACAGGAACACAGGTTCAACGGAGTTGCTGTCCATCTGAAGATCATAAGGCCTTTTGTGCCTATATCAATCCCTCGGGTGGTAAAATCAAAGAAGTACAAAATACTTTACATAAATATATATATATAAATTCCAACACACAGAGGAGCCTTTGCTGGAAGGCTGCGGGGCTATGCCTGGGAATCAAACTCACTGAACTTCAAAGAACTTCTGAGAGAATGTGTATAGGATTGCACTATAAAGGCCTAAAATTTTGACCAAGATTCATGGGTTTGAGTCCCATGTTGCGCGAAAGATTCCTGCATGACCCTTGGGGTCCCTTCCAACTCTACAATTAGCGAAGTATACATCAATATAAAATAAAAATGTGCTTTTAATGAAAGGGCTTCTGCTGTGCTGTTTTTATTGCCATTATTAGTTTGGTTTTACAAGATATTTATATGTATACACACACAGTTTTAATTCTATCAGTGTTTAATTGCTTTTTAATTGTAGATCCCCCGCCCAGGTTTTAGCTTGTCTTCTTTTCATCCGTAAACTGCCTTGGGTTCCCATCAGGGAAAAGGCAGGGTACAAATAAATGTATAATAATTATAATAATAATTTCAAACTGGGCATTTTTTGTTTCCAATATACAATGCTGGCAAGAGAGAAAGGCCACCCATAACTTAGAGTGCAGAGGTGAAACAAGCATATGATCCCCCAATGAGGGGTGTCATAGAAATTTAATAAAATTAGTTTAATCAATGTAATAATAACATTGCCTTGACCTGCTTGGCTGAAAAATCTCGCATGGCTTCTGGAAAACCCAGTGGAGGCCGTAGTTGAACTGGGGGGGGGGGGCACATGCAAACACCTGGCCCATTGTCCCAGGCCTCCTTGCCACTGACATCCTTTCACCCATAATGCTGTGACCTCCAGGTGCTTGGGTCCCCTAGAAACACTGGTGAGGTGAGCTTTCATTTTCTTTTCCCACTGAGGATTGGAAAGAGTTGAAAGATTAGAAATATTTGAAAAAGATGGAGAAGAAGATCTGATAAGACCATTAAAACTAGCTGCCTCTGGTTGCTAACCGTTATTTTGGCAGATTATTATCAAACGGCCCTGGCTTCTTTTTTTGAAGTTTACAAAATAACAACAACAACAACAACAACAATTGTATACCCATAAATCTTACCCATAAATCTCAGGGCAGTTCACAGCATCAGATAAACAAAATAAAAAAACACAAAATACATAATAAAAACAAAGACAACCCAATAATTTATAGCCAGCCAAAGCTTGACTTTCTGATATCTGAAGATCAGTCTCCTATTAGAGGGACAGGAGCAGGCTTGGCAAAACTAGAAAGAAGTCTAATGGAAATTCTCTGTGCCTCATCCTTGAATGATTTCGCTCTCTTGCCCATCATAAGGCAACCCTAGTGGGCAGCTCTTCCTCGGCTGACCCTTTGTCGGAAGGAGGGGGGTCCCTTGCTTCAGGGTCCTTGCGTGAGGCCGGGGGCCTCTGTGGCCTTCCCTCCACTTCGACTGGAGACCCAGCTGCCCCCCCCGGACAGGGAAAGCCGTGACAGCTGGACAGCCTCAAGGTCCGCATCTTGCCTCCGAAGACGCTTCGGCTGCCTCCAAAGACGCTTTGGACATTTAAGCCAGTGCAGAAGTTGGCAGCCAGGTTGCTAACCGGGGCAAGACAGATTCAGCATCTGACACAGATCCTACCTTGACAGCACCAGCTGCACCCAATTCCAAGGGCTACTTCTAATGGAGAAAGCCTTCAACAGCTCAGGAGAAGGAAGGAAGGGGTGAGAGAGAGAATGAGAGAGGGAAGGAATGAGCGCAGGAAGGAAGGAAGGGGTGAGAGAAAGAGAAAAAGGAAAGAAAGAGAGAGGGAGAGAAAGGGAGAATTGGAGGGAGAAAGAGAGGAGAGAGCGAGAGGAAGGGGAGAGAAAGGGGAAAAGAGAGGAAAAATAGATGGAAGGAAGGAGAGAGAGAGAGAAGGAAGGAAGAGGAAAGGGAGAAAGGGAAAGAGAGAGAGAAAGAGAGGGTGGAAGGAAGGGGAGAGAGAGATGGAAGGAAGGGAGAGAGATGGAAAGAAGGAA